ACAATAGGATATGGTATCCTTCACCGACATAAGTCTAGCGGTAGTCGGCTTGAACCTCCTCAGGTTGTTGGCAGTCCTATGCCCGGTAGCGTAATCGACCCGTTGACAACCAAAATTAAAAAAAAGAGAAAAAAAATAAGTTTTGATAAATTACTTTCAAACAAAATATACTTCTCCACGAAACAAAATGGATAACTCTTCTTTGCATGCTTAAGAAGTTGTGTGTATGTCAAAAACATAAATTTTAAAAATACATTTTAAACTTGGTTGTCCACCTGACGAATAGCTGTTTAGGCTGGGAAATAGCCCCTAAGTGAGGTTCAAGACACACTTCTAGACGAGTGACGGGTTCTATACATTCGGGTGACCGAGTAGCCTTCGTGGTCCCTCGAGAATAAATATAGCTGAGCCTAGTCCCATACGAGTGCTTGCGGTTCCCCTCACTTGAAATTTTCTTTTACTTTATCGAAGTTTTGGGACGAGACACTCGTGTTAATTTTTTTTCTTTTTTTCCTTTCCCCATGAGTTTTTTTCGTCGAGTCTTTCGAGTTTTTTCACTTTTCCTCGGATTTCCTGGATAACGTTTTCTTCCAGACTTTTTTTTTTTTTGAGATGTATTTAGGTTTGCTATACTTAAGGGACAGCGGATGCATTTAGGCTTGCTATACTTAAGGAACATCGGATCTCACGGGCGTACAGATTTGCTTTACATTTTTCAGCATTTAATTTTTCTATTTCTACCTGCTACTGTTCTTTCTGTACAGCATGTTATAGTTGTTCTGTTTTTACCTGCTACTTTTCTTCCCTTTGGATTCCTTAAATAATTGTTCCTATTTTGAGTCATTCCCATTTGATTTTCCTATGTCCAACCGTGAAAACCTAAGCTTTGAAATCTTGAAAACAAAACCACCTGATCTTAATCGAGAGTTTTCTTAAATGACTTCCAGTTATTTAAGATATAATTAACTATAGGGGCTTGCCTCTATAGGGAACCAGGAACCCAGATAAAATAAACCTTATCTAAACCTTATCTAATCCTCGTATTAGGTAGGGGAACTTGTCGGCAAATAAAAATATTTCGCAGACTAAAACGGATGTCACAAATTCTTTAGTCTAGGTGATTGAATCCCTATTACAAGTGATATATTTATTCTTTGGGATAAATGTATTAATTGTAGTATTGTATTCAATTATCTAAATTATTTAAAAATGTGAGACTCGTTTGATCTCAGTTATTTTAAAAATTAAAATGTTCTTTCAAAAAGTTATATTTATATTTAAATTATTTTCAAAATCACAAAATCATCACCGTTTCCAAACTACGAAAGTTAAGTTGAACAATAAAACGGCCGACAACATGGTACCTCCATGCAATGTTTTCTGGATGCTCAGTCTTAAATGTTCAAACACTCGAATAATTTTTGGGTATATTCTCAAATACACCTAATATTACATGTTATTTAAATTCAAAAAAGTACACAGAGTGACATCATATGCTTTTTAAATATCTAAAAGTAAAATAGGACGGCGTACATGTGTCCTATTTCAAAACTAAACCAACAAAATTTGACTAGTACCAAAATTTGATATGAAATAACGATCAAGTTGGGAGATTGAATTTCTAAGTGATTAGCTATAACAGTGAAATTGAAAGGTTCCATTTCATTAATGATATGATTGGCTATATATAGTTATATGGTTCTACATTCCTATAGTTAAATAGTCAGGTAGTTATATATATATGAAGAGAGAAATGAGAAAAGTACCAAAATACTCCCGACTTTTTGCAAAGAGCCATGTTAGACCCAGAGTGGGAACTATTTTCAGCCCATGTTAACAGAAAATGGAGACCAATTTGACACTTTTATAGATTTGAGACTAAAATGGCCCCATATAAATAGTCAGGGGAATATTGTAATACTTTACTCGTTAAAAATTGTAAAGCACTTGCTTATCCTTTGTCTCGATACATTACTGATTAAGCATACACTAGAAAAGAGAGAAATCCAAGACAGATCTCCTTGGTGTTTTGTATGTTTGCATACAAATAAGAATACACCACATTTGTAGTTAAAGACGTCAACAAATTATTACCTTGAGCTTAACAATACAAAATAAATGTGAAATCAGATAAAGACAATTAGCAAAGCTAAACTGCTGACATCAGACAAGAAGATGTAAATTCCAACTTAAAACCATTTCAAAATACAGTTGACAAGTTATTCCAGATCAAAATTGAACAAAAAGAAAGTTGAGGGAACATATATACGTAATAACATAACGTCTAAGTTATACAAAGCTAGAATGTCAACATGCTTTTTTTTTTCTGTTAAGTGTGAAGTGCAAACCAAGAAGACTTTAGTTAACTGAAATGCACATCTTAGAAAACATTACACGGTAATACTATTTAAAACTATTTATACAAATCAAATTTGTGAAATGACCTATGATTTTTTTAGTCAATAATTAACATAGAAAATTATTGCACTACAAATTTGTCAGTTAACTTTGGAGAGCATCTTGTAGACATGGAATGTAAATGAAAAACCATGAAAGGCAAAGACAATGTAGCACGGCAAAGAGACACCCAAAAAACAAATTGAATAAATTCAAGTTGACTGAGAGTTGCGAAATAGAAATTAAATGAATCTAATGATTCAAAAATTGAAGGAGAAATAATTGACGACAAAAATGAAAATTGGAAAGTTGATACTGAAAATCCTGGAAAATCAACCAATAAGAATATCAAAAGAAGACTTGTTGAAAAATTAGCGAGTCATCAATTGACCCAATCACATAAGATGTTGAGAGGAAAATAATGTTCTAGATTCTTTTTAATAATTTATCGCCACTAGCTCCCTTTCTGATAATATCTTCTTATTAAAGTGTCAACAAAATGGTGTTACAAGTTCCTGTCTCATAATATCACAATTGTTTGTACGGAGAAGAGTCGCTGGGCTGGCAAAAATGAGAGAACAAGAGTGAGATGAGAGACCAAGAGAAGAAAAAGAAGAATCATGACAATGAGGACAAGCATCATCATGAATTTGAGATCTAAATTGGGAACCAGAGACACTGAATCCTTGTAACAGTGGAGCAATGAGTGGAGATTTAAATATTGCATTCTAACATTTAAAGTGTGGGTGCATAAAAATGATGAAGCGAACACTCATAGAGCTTTACAAAAATGTAGGTTGTAATGTATTGCTCCAAAAGCTCTCTTAAAAGCACAATTTCATTCATATTGAGGCAACAGATTTCTAACAGACTATGCAAGAAAAATTAGAAAGAATATGCACAGTACATCAGAACACAATCACACTTCGCAACAGTTCCCTTGAGATTAATCTAGGACTTCCATTTTTTCTTTCGGAACTGTAACTTCTGTTTTAGATACATCAAACGAGATCACGATTTATCAAAAAACTGTTGGAATGAAACTCAAGCTTGAAAATCCCGCAATATACTAAGCTGAAGGAACGCTTGTATTTATTGCAGTTTTGAACCTTAAAACATTAATAACTGTACTCATCAAAGGGAAACACACCAAATTCGATCTCTCTTTAATTTTCCATTGTAAGATAGAATAAAATAATGGATCAAGTACCAACCTTAAGGCGGGGATTTATAAGAATCACCGGGCACTGACCAGCTGCATCTGTCATAGCCTGTAAATCCTACACTTTCAGAACAACGTCACCAACATTAGTTCAAGCGCTGGAATAGATACATAAGAAATTCTTTCATTTGCCAGTTCATACATTTATAATGCAGTTACCAACCGCATTTTGTGGAGAGACTAATATATATATATCAACTTGCTCATCTATCTCTTTGGCACCTGTCATAAAAAAACCATGCTTGCTCAGTATTGGTCAAATTAAAAAAATCTATATAATAAAGAATACACCATATACATTTACTTATCATTCAAATTTTACAAAAAAAAAATAAAAAAAATAATCTTTTGATTAAAAATATTAATAATCCAAACTTCGAGATATCTACATGTTCTCAAAACCTCAATTGACTACACTAATTGAATCCACAGCTAATATAATCAAGAAACTGACAACAACAAAAACAAACCTTCATCCCACTAAGTGGGGTCGGCTACATGAATCCTTTTTCTTCATTGTGTGCTTTTGAGTGTCATATTTTCATTTAATTCTATTAAATTAAGATAATTTTTTATACAATATGCCAAGTTTTTTTGGGTGTAACTCTACTTTTCTTAACATAAGTCGAATCTAAAACATCTACTCTCCTAATCAGATGATCAGATGGCCGACGTTTAATATTACCAAACCATCTACGGCAAATCTTTCTAATTTTGTCCACCACTCGAGCTACAACAACCCTATCACGGATATATTCATTTCGCATTTTGTCTCTTAAGTGTAAATTCACTCATCGACCTAAGCATTCTCATCTCGACAACACTTAGTTTTATGTTTCTCTTTTAGAGGCCAACATTCAGCGACATAGAGCATTGCAGGTCTCACTGTCATCTTATAAAATTTTCCTTTCAGTTTAAACAGTATTTTTCTATCACACAATAGGCACGAAGCATTCCTCCATTTCAACCAACCAACTTAAATTCTCTTAATAACATCCCCATCTATAACCTTAATGAAAATAAATCTTCACCAAAAATTTGTGCTGCAAAACCCCTCATAATTTAACAGAAGCAATGGATGCAAAAATGCTGTGAAACTTCTGGGATGGGAGATCAAGTAAAAGATTTCACAAGACCAAGTAATCATTTATATTCTCAAATATGAATGCAGAAATATCTATGTTTAAAGTTGGAGAGATTGATTAAAAGAGATGGACTACAAAGACTATATGGAACTGTTAAAGTATTGTTACATATTGATAAGAGTACTCAAGTCTACTCTTCAAGACAGGTGCTCATGGAAGGCACTATTAATGCAATGTGGGATTGCATCTAATATCGAAGTAACCCTAAAATAAACAAATATGATTATTATTGCTGAAATTTAGAAAAAAAACACAAGGATTCATAAAATTGAAAATAAAATGATAGGAATATAAACGGGACTGCGAGGGCAAAGTGATGAACTCCAACTGGAAAACAGGTGTGAAGGATGGTTTGAGAGTCCATGACAGCAAGTGGAGGGCAGGGAGGATGCGGCGGCAGGCGTAGGAGCAGGCTTCACAGCAGCAGAGAAGGCGTTGGATACCTTGGCGGCAGCAGGAAAGGCAAAGGCAGGGATTGCGGTAGTAGGGAATGTGCAGGAAGGTTGGCCGACAGCAGAGGAAGGCACAAGAGGCAGGGCGGCAGCAGGAGAGAAGCAGAAGGCTGAGCGGCAGTAGGGGAAGGAGCAGGAAGGCAGCTCGGCAGCAAGGAAGAAGAAATATGGCATGAGATTAACGAGATAACCACTACCTCGGAGCAGGAAACAACCGGAGCACAACTGTTCTCGGATAGAGCCCTAATAAGGGAGGAGACGCCTTAAGGCAAAAACACTTTAAATCAACAACGCCAAATTGAGCCCTAAAACACTCAAACAACGTATATATAGAGCAAAAGGGAGAGGACAAGGGGGGAAAGAGGGTGGTAGTTACCGCCACTTGATACATCTGTTCGGTCCAGCATCCTGCTGGACAGCGACACTTACTGAATCACTTGGGCCTGTTTAGCCATGTCAAGCCCCTCGTCGGTCTCCTAGGGTTGAAGTAGCTCTGAGTTCATCCATAAAAACTTCGGGGCCTTCATAGTATAGTGTGAGATCTGTAACATTAAATGCAGCAAAAATAGTGTAGTCCCCTAACAATTTGATCTTGTAAGAATTATCATTCAGCCTCTGAAAGGACCATTTGCTCTAGGCTTAAGTTTTCTAAATGCTCCTAATGGGAATCTCTATTTCTTCAGTCAGATCCACATTAGATCTCCTTCCTTGAAAGTCACCTTTTTCTTGTTTTGTTCGCCTGTGCTTGGTATTTGTGATCCTGCTTAATGATCTCTTTTCTGACTTCCTCAAGGATTTTTTGAATCTCGTACTCCCATTCCTCAGCATCCTCACTAATATCTGACATCTGCATAAGCGCACCAATTCGAGTGGGATGAGGCGTTGCGCCAGTACATGATCTCCAATAGGGTGCGACCCGTAGTCAGAATAACAAATTTGTTGTATGCGAACTCGGCTTGAGCGGCACATGGCCGCGATTTTTGTTGGATCCATTTGAATGTCTGCATTAGAAATGATATAACCCAAAAAGCATATCCGGTTTGTCATGAAGTGACACTTTTTGAAATGAGTGTATAGTTTCTTTGCTCGCAATACCTCAAACACCGCCCTTAAGTGTTGTAAGTGTTCCTCAGATCGATTGTACACCAAAATGTTCTTAAAGTAGATCACCATAAATTTTTCAATGTGAGTCTGAAATACCTGATTCATGAACCTCATAAAAGTTTTAGGCACGTTTAACAAGTCGAAGGGCATATAACTGCTCACTCGTATAAACCATCTCATGTTTTGAAAGTGGTCTTCCACTCATCAACTGGCCTCATCCGGATCTGGTGATACCCACTGCATAAGTAGATCTTGAAAATGAAGATGGCTCTGTGTAACTGGTCTAACAGATTGTCCAAGCGAGGTATGTGAAACCAGTACTTGATGGTAATCTTGTTGATGACCCCGTTGTCAATGCACATCCACTACGAACCATCATTCTTGGGTACCACTAGGGCGGGGACAGCACATTGACCAGCACTCTCTCTGACGAACTCTCTTGCAATGAAATCTAGTACTTGTCATTGTAACTCGTACTTTGCAGGTCTCCATCAGTATGCAGGCCGATTCAACAATATTGATCCTAGTATGAGATATAAGTTGAATGTCCCTCAGTGACGTTAATCTCTCTGGAAGACTGTCGGTCATCACATCCGAGAAGTCCTGTAATAGTGGTTGTAATGTTGTTGGTATCTCATTCTCCTCCTCAGTTCCTCTAGTAGGACAGTGCCACTAGAGCATCCCAAGCTGACTGCATGAACGCCTCCTCTTTGTCACCTATAACACTTGCATCCTTAACAGATAACAACACGATGTGTTTCCCATCCTTCTTAAAAGAGTAAGTATTCTTGAAGCCACCATGTTGAGCCTTGTGGTTGAACTGCCAAGGCCTCCCCAACAGAATATGGCATGCGCCCATCGAAACTATATTGCAGCACACGTGCTCCTACAATCGATCCACAATTGAGAATTCGACCAAGCATTGTTGATCCACACATATCTCATTTCCCTTCTTCAACCAGATAAGGGAATAAGTCTAGGGATGTTTCTGCGTGACCAGTTCAAATTTCTTCACCATAACGTGGACACCACATTTTCACAACTCCCATTATCGATGAACTTTCCCTTTACCGTACATTTAGTGTTAAAGATATTGTGCCTCAACCATGACTGATCTCACTCCAGCTTTGATTGCAGAAATCTCAATATGACTAATGATTCTACCTCGTCGCCTTGGAGCTGAAGTTCTTCCTCTGGACTATTCTCTGACTCCTTGTCCTCCAACTCCTCGACGTGCCCTAATCTGTGAATGTGACAACTTGACTTATGGGACAGTTGGAGGCCATGTCTGTAGCTGTGACACCTGGAAAACCTCCCAACAATTATTGTACTAGAAGAGTTGCCCTTTTCCAGCTTCTTTCCACTCTGATCTGTCTATTTACACTCTTGTTCTATCTCGTCAAATCCTCCAGGGGTACCATTGTTGGTCGGGTAGCTGTAGGTGCTTGGCTGGCTGAAGGCTGCTACCTAAATGCAGATTGTTGCCTGCCTTGTTTTTATTGTCTTTCCACCTTTAAGGCTAAAGTTTGAACATCCTCTAACGACCAATATGAATGTAACTGCAGCTTCAAGCCCCCCAAGTTCCGAGCTATAGTGTATTTCTTTAGCTCGACCAACTCGCGTTTCATCCGCAACTATCCGAACTGTGTTGTGAACTACTCAACTGAAAGGTCTCTATGTTGCAGGTGGAGTCTCGGAAACATTCCTAGCAATAATGAGGTGGAAGATAATTCCTCTGCATTGCTTTCATCATCTTTTTCCACTTGGTAATCTTATCATTGCTTTCTCTTTTCCTCTATATCTATAATTTTTCAACCACAAAGGCATTTTTTTCAACTTTATGATTTCTAATTTCACCCGCTTATCCTCTGGCACCTCCTTAAATTCGAAGATTCGCTCAGCAGATTGCAGCCAGCAATAAACTCAACTGGATTCATATGTCCAAATTCTGGTAGATCCATTTTGATGTCGAAGTCACTATATCCTCTATATGTAGGCTCCTCTCTCGACCTCCTCTAAGTTCTTTAACCAAGCATCAAAGAGCTACCATGACATTCCAAACTACATTGACACTCCAAAGATAGCTATTTCATAAGGTATAATAACTAGATAGATGTTGATATGAATGATTAAAAATAGTGAAATTAATATTACAAACATAAATTTCGTTTAGATGCAGACCTATTGAACCAATTGTAATGAACGTATCTTTAGCACCATACTTCCCCCAATCCATAAATTCTAAAATTCTTCTGCTTCCAGCAAGCTGCAGTGGCATCCCAGCAAGTGCACCTTCTCCCATAGATCCCTGAACACAGACCTGCAAAAAGTAGCAAAAATGGTACACCTTTAATCACCAACAAAACATTTCCTTACCCATAATTCAAAAACGAGTGAACTGCCAAAATAGTCCCCTAATTATTTACTGGGGACATTTTAACCTTAGAGTTTATAGAAATGCTAAATTAGTCTCCAGACTCTTTTAATGGGGCCTAAAATACTCCTCACTTGGGACTACCCATATTAAAAGAGCAAGGGGACTAAATTTATATTTTTGTAAATTTAGAGACCAAAATGACACCCTACGAAGAGTCAATGGATCATTTTGACACCCTTCTCATTTAAAAACAGAACCACATACCTTCACATGCTTCCCATCATCAGCAAATGAAAGAGCCAGCGTTCGCACCAGTTCCATTAGGGTGCCAATCCGATAAACATCCTGAATATGTCAAGGCTTAATGAGTTTCTTAGGCTTAACATAAAAATTTCTCAATTGGTCCACTGTGTACTAGAATATAGTGGCAGAAATAGGAATGAACACCTCACCATTTCGGGGTTGAGCTCCGGAATGTTGATCTCCACCTGCAAGTTAGTAATTTAGATAAATTACTACCCAAGTAAAATTCTATTTATCAAAACGAATGTACAAGATAAATATATTTAAGAGTCTCTGCAATAAAGTTGGATGCAAATGAGGCACACCATTGAAAGTGTGCAGTTAGGGATAAAGCGTTGAGAGAGAGAAAACAGAGTATACAATGGCTTTATCTAGATATCCTTATAAAAAATAGTATGGGAAAATTGATAAGAGTTAAACACAAAGTAACAAGAAGTGGCATGGGATTCCATTTCAAAATAGGGGTTTTTCTTTTGTTCTTTTTTTTTTTTAATTTCAGTATAAATGAAACAAAAAATAAAAAACAGATTGTATAAGTCAAATCATATTAATCTAATTCATCTAATGACTATCATATAATTATCTATATCTTATATATTAAGCTGACATGAGAGAGAACTTCTCAATTGAAATATTTCAAATCCATAAGTAACAAGAGGCTCTATGACGTGAGGGTTGGGGGAGACTCAAAACGGTTTGGTCAAGGTTGAGGGAGGGCCGGTTGGCCCTCTCTAGGCCTAGGGTTGCTGCCCAATTCGAGTGGGGCCAACTCTTAGTAGTAGTAAGTCTATTTAAGTGTTTCTTTGATGTTTAGGATTTAGTTTGTTATTGATTTGAGATTTTAGAGTCGTTAGCTCCTATTTTCCCATTTCAGAGCTCAATCCAAGGGTTTCAAATGGTGTTTCGGCTATACCTTGGTCTTCAGATGGTGTTTATGCTTCCTATACTTTTCCCCCATCTTTTCGCGCATTGCTCCTTGACACGGGCGACTCTCGCTTTCAAAATGGGCGCAGAACTTTCTGCGACTGAAAAAGAAAAACGCATCTCGTGTGTTACACGGACTGAATCGATCAAGATTTTCTCCCTTTTGAGGAGTCAGTTGGTTCTCTTGGGCCACTCCTAGTTATCTTATTATTATATATTCACTTTCGTGATTTTTAGAGTTAAGTTTTTTAGTGCTTTTGTTCGAGACAGTCACAACATTTTTGTTTCACATCTAGGGTTATATCTAATGGTTCGAATGGTGGCTCCAGCCGTATCTCGCTCATGAGATGGTGATAATCTTCAATATACCCTTCCACATTCTCCCCATGTCGCTCCCGACCACCCTTCATTACATTCGCCACCTCTAACAACAACTCGTTGTTGTTTTCACTACAGTATTCCCATTCCAGCTGTCTGTCCTTGTTGTCGTTGCCTCAGACAATTGTCCTCTTACTGTCTTGCAATCCCCCACATCCATTGTTGTTGTCACCGCCCAGAACAACCACTATCCGTTGTTTCCCTTGTCCAATCTTCGTTCTCGCTGCCACCGTCCAGGACAGCAACCAAACTTACTGTTTCTGCAGGTTCGCACATTCCTCTTGCAACCACAAACACCTCTTTGTTGCTGCTGATACACAAAAAATATATGCATTTTGTAAACTCCATACTTTATACTCATGTAAACTCATACTTTATACTCATTTTTTGTGATATTACACTTTAAAAGAAGATATTTTTCATGTTTTATTGCAGGTTGTTGATTTTTTGGACTTTGAACAAAAATGAAGCAAAAATGATAGAATTTGGAGTCAAAAAAAAAAATTTGAAGAAATGCTCAGCACCCTCAGCACCAGCCGGGGCTCCGACGGCGCCGTTTGACAGTGGGCGCGGTCTAATTAAATGACCACTGGCGCCGACAGTGTCAGTGTCAGTGCAGGCCCTATTTCTAGAAGATTTGATGAATTTGGACGCTTTCTGAAGAGTTTTTAGATGCACCTATTGCAAAACCGACCTTATGATCTATTTAGAGCTGAAATTGATCAGAAAAGGCCCCCCTCCGCGCCCTTCGCACCAACCACTTTCCACTTTCTTCCACGCACACCTACATTCCACACCATTAGTTTGTTATTGTCTTTATAGTTTTGAGTTTTTGTGGTAAGTTTAAGTGTTAATTCTTCTCTAAGTGTGTTGGAGAGGGAGAGAAATGAGAAATTTTTTCTTTCTTTTACATTTCCTAAGAGACATTTCCTAAGAGAAACATTTCCTAAGAGAAACTACAAGGGATTTGCTTTGAGAAAGAGTTTCAGATAAGTGTTGTTTGTTTATTATTATTGTATGAACTTTCTTTTATATATGAAATTTGTGTTTTATTGTATTTTTCTCATTAAGTCAGAGTAGTTTCTTTTATCTTTCTGCCTACTCTGAGATATGGTGAAATGAAGAGATAATTTGGATGTGCCAATATTAAAATATAAAATAAATTGTGATGATTTTCCAACTCCGTTCTTAATTTACTTTTTGATCGGACCAATTTAATCTGGCCAATTGATTTGTTAAAATATGTTGTGAAACATATGATCCGGAAAATAGAGTATGAGCGTATGAGTTCTACAACAGAGTGAGAATCGCATTTAATTCCATGAAGGAATATTTCGTTCATGAAATTGAGTGCAAATAAATAGGAAAATATACATTGTTGGGTGTAGAATTGAAGATTTAGGGTGACAAACTAACTAAATCCCCAATTCGATCTTAGTGTTTAAGAACTAAAGCGAGAGTTAGCCTTCAGATGAAGGGAAGTGGGAGCTCTGGAGTGGGAGCAAATATCCTTCTAGCCTAGCCACGGATTTAGGGATTAAGTCTGAGATTAGTTAATAATTTTCTATAACACTGAATCAGGGTAGAAAATTAAAATTGTTCCTATTTGACACAATATATATTTAAACCATTTATTTCATCATATTTCACCAAAAATTAATTGTAGTGGGAAAAATGCATTTCCATATTAGAAAACTTCATGACATAAACATAGTTTAGTAGTTACTGTTTTAAACTTTTCATTTAAATTTTGCTAGTAATGAATAATTTAGTTCTGATAGTATCTCAAACGTTCAAAATTAGTGACAGTAATTTCGTTTTATTTCTGTGAATTTCCTAATTAATTTATCATTTCAAATTTAAACCTTCATCGTGGGATCGATATTTAGGACTTAAATAGAAAGTCTTATATTACTTGATAATGATACGTATATTTGCGTAGAATCCCAATATTAAGTGCTTAATGTTATTATTCATAAAATACCACATCAAATTTTTGGTACCGTTGTAAAGCGGAGTCAACTTTATAAATTTTACACAACTATATTTTCTGGGATCAATTGCCACACTTTCCAAGCCATCAACCGCCCTTCGACACCTCTCACGAGTTCAACCCCTCACCGATCACCATCACCGCCCCGAGATCCACCATTTGAATTTGTATTGTCATTTGTTGCAAATTTTGATTTTTAGTATTTTTGGTTGTAAATTCTTATTTGAATTCAGCAATAATATTTGTTTCACACTGTTGTTTATTTAACTCTGGTATCACTATCACGTCCCCTTCATTGTTTATTTGTTGCTGCTACCCAAGAAATAAGAAACTTGTTGCTTCCTATGTCAAACCTACTTCCTCCACCCAAGGAAAGCAGCTGTCTTGTTGTCCTTCCCGTCCTTCTTGTTGTTGCCCCCCAAAACAGCCTTCTTATGATTGTACCTGCTTGCCCCCTTGCTATCGCCACCCGAACCACCAGCCCCATGGTTGTTCTAGCCCACGTACTTGTTGTTGCTACCCTGGACATGCATATGAAGCCTGATTGGTAGAAACAAGGAGCAACCCACGAGAGCTTCTAGCGTGGTGCACCAGCGTCTGAACAACACCCCATGGCTACAAATAAAGAGCGCATTTCATCCTTGTCGCGCATTTCAACATCGCCCCTTTGTCGCATTCAAGTCACCAATGCGCCCGGTTCTAGAGAGCGTGACACTTCCGCGCTCTAACGTGCCAGGTGTATTTCTCTCTTTTGATTCGGTTTAAAGCTTTTGCTTCAAGCGATGAAGGTTAGGACTCTCGGGTGCAGTGTTTCGATAAGGTTGCATGAAACAAAGAGGAGTTCAGGATTTTAGCGTGCAATTTCTCTCGTGAGATCGAAAGGAAGGGTTTCAAGCAAAATCCTGTAAGTTCCATTGATTGTAAAGAAATGATCTAAGAGTATTTCTGTACATTTTTTGTTCTTCATAGTGAAAATTTAATGGTGGTATGGCTCAATGATGTTTTCCCATTCTAGGCCTTTTCACGTTAAATTCTCATGTGGTTTTTTCAGGAATTGTTTTGATGTGCTTCTATTTGATTTTTTTGTTATGAATTTCTTGAATTGATTTGATCCTATTCCGATGTGTGGTTTTGATATTTAATTAATTAAAGCAAACAAGTGGTATTAGAGTAGAGATTCTTTGATTCGAGAGAGAGCAATGGCCGATGAAATAAGCTACAAACTGGAGAAGTTCAATGGGTCGAATTTCTCATTCTGGAGGATACAAGTGGAGATTTTTTTATATCAGAAAAAACTATATCTACCATTATAAAGAATTACCAAGAAGTCTGAGTCTTTAGCTATAGAAGAATGAGAGGTGTTGGATCGAACAACTCTAGGTTTGATATGTTTATCACTTTCTTCATCATTTACATTCAATATAGTGAATGAGAAAAACTACGTTAAATCTCATGATATTACTGACAAAGATGTATGAAAATACTCTGCTTCTAATAAGATTTTTTCTAAAGATGGTGGAAGGTAGTTCAATGGTAGAACATCTGAACAATTTTAACACTATAATAAATCAGTTGTGTTATGCAAAAATCAAATTTGATGATGACATTAGAGCATTGTTAATTCTGCCTTCATTGTGGGATAGCTAGAATGATTTTGGTTATGGCTATAAATTTTCTGAAAATATGAAGTTGAACTTCGATGATATCAAGAAGTTGGTGCTAAACGAAGTAGTTCTTAAAAAGACAACAGATGATATATCTTCAAGTTCTGCGTTAAATATGAAAAATCGAGAAAGGAGACTAAACAGAAATATAGATAGAGATAGATTCAAGTCCAGATTATGAATTCTTGGTCAAACACAATAAATGATAGAGGAGAATATTGAAATT